ACAATGGGTTCAGCTGAAAAAAAAATAGCAGGTGGGATGGATATTGGGTGATGTGGAGTGCAAGTCATCCTTGAGCATCAAAGCACTCTGAGTAGAGAAAAACAATACAAGAAACTTAATCCTGTGCTTAGTCGTTTTCTTGGCTGTGCAAAGTCACATATAGATGGAGGTGGAGGATGGAAGAGCCTGAAAGTTTGACAAAAGCATCCAGGCAGCTGATCCAGAGGAAAAACACTGAGACCCAGGTGACTTCACACAAATGGTCCTGGCGGATTCACAAGTTCAACCAGAGTGTTTCCTCTGAGTTGTCACTGTTTCCTGCCCTCCCTCTCACTTCCCAAGGTTAATTTAGAGGAGAATCTACAGGCTCATTTGACTCTTCCATCATTCATAAGAAAAAATAGAGAGTGTTCAAATTCCAATTCAAACAAAATAAAATTCTCTACTATGTGTTGGTATAAGAATCGGTGTCTTTACAAAAAGATACTGGTTGTAGGGACATCATTTATGCAACTGCAGCCACACTGTCAAGTTATTAGATGAAGAAAGTAGGCCATAGAGTTTCATCCTTGTTTTTAACTGTCTTCCAAATAAATATAATAAACTTTCCTCAAAAAACTCATACAGCTTCTGTGGTGGTAACATCTGTGCAAAGTATTATAGATGAAGAGAAGAGAGACAAAGTGCAAGCAAGAGGGCCTCAGTGAGCTGGATCCTAGGCACAGAAATTGAAGATAACAGGCACATTTAGTGACATGATACAGTATTAGCTTCTATGTAATTCTATGGTACAGTATCACATTCATACTGTGAAACAGTTCGTACTCTTCCCAATAGGCCTAGCTAGTTCTTTCCAAGAACCACCTTGCTTGCCTAAAAAATTTGGCCACTTCTTCAGAGTTCAATTTTTATTGTTTAAAAAAAAGATAGCTACTTCTTTAGAAATAGAATTGTCACTGAAAACAGCCTTTTTAGTCTTTCTTTCACCAGGTCAAATTAGGTTTGCCCTGTTAACACAGACAGACACACACAAAGAATGAGCACACCTGCTCTCCAGAACTTGCATTCTGTTTTTATGTCAAATGTTCGACTTCCCTAAATTAAAGGAGCTAAAAATACCCAGACCTACTCTGGAGTCCACAGGGTGTCCATAAAATCTAGAGCCAGCCCCAAACATTATAGTACTTGATCTTCCCCCTACATGATCCATATCTGAGACATGACCCTTCGCCAGAATGACTGATACTCAGTGCAATTTGAGTTTGTACAATTCCTTCAGTCATGGGCATTTTTAGTTGTACCACTGTACAGAAACCACTAAATGATCTCTCTATTCTGAATTCATTACACTTGCCAACAAAAACAAGGATGTTGCATGTGGGCCAGTCAAAATGTGAGTCACATCAAGTTCCAGGGAGACACATAATCAAAGTTCTCTCACAAACTGTGACAACAAGCCCACCCGAACCAGAGTCCAAATCTACATTTCAGAAATAGAAATTCTTCAACGAGTATAGACCACTACACATTTAACTCAGACCCTCTGCTTCTCCCCAAAACTAACAAGTGTGCAAACTTAAAACTCCTGGAAGGTCTTATTTTTTTGTTGTTTTTTTAAATCTAAAATCCAGTTGTTCGGTGTTTTAGTTCCTTCAAAGTGGGGGGAAAAAAAAGTAAAGAAGCTCTCACCATTTGGCTTTTTGAAAATCATCTAATGCCAAACTATTAAGCATCAATTATATTTCAAATGAAGAGTGTAAAAGAAATAGAAGATTCTTTGTATTTTATGGGGTGGGTTAATTCACTTTAGTTTTTTAAAGCCACGAACTCCATTTAATAAAGCATCAGTTTTTGTGATGGTGACATATGGGACAAAAGCTGTAGTTTTTTTTACTAGAAAGAAGGTTCTGACATGCACAGCAACGAATTTAAGAAACAAGTGAGAAAACACACTACAGATGCAGGGAACTACACAAGCCCCGAGCAGTTTTTGGACAGTGTCAGTTTTTAGACAATTTGATGGCTGATTTCATTGTGCAATTATCAACCTTTAGCCGAACGGAAATGCTAGCCAGGGGACAGACACTTTGTTCCCTTTAGTCCCAAACAACATCCTGTATCAAAATGTGATGGTAACTTTAATAGCTCTGAATCTCATCTTTAAACCCATCTGTTTGAGAAAAACAAAAACAATAATTATGACTCCCTGAAAGATTTCACAATTAGCTGCTCAACTGTGATTTGTTTTTTCTTAATTTCAGAACTAATATGACTTTCCAGGGAAATCTCTGGAAATGAAACTCATTATGCAATACTTCCTATGTTTTTATCTTGAAGTGACATTTCTTTAATAAAGAATCAAGACACAGACCCAAAAATGAATGGATAGGCATTAATTCACTCCTTCATTCACTGTTTTGAAAAGGTAATTCGAACCAGGCCAGAAACATGTAGTAACATCTTTGTAAAGACAGAATGCTGAATGAGGTCTTCTTTCAGTTTGACAATTGTGCTGTTTGGGATATAGGTACTTTTAAATATGAGAGACAAAAAGCTCAAAAAGTTAATTTTACCGTAACAAATTATCAATATAATCTAAATCAACTTATAAAAATATGAATATTTCATGAATATGAAAAACAGGTTTTAAGAAAGGTCAGCTAATGGACAGAAAAATAACCTCCATCTGATTTATCTCCTACTGGTACAGCGAGTGACAAAAATACTACATAAAGTTAACTAACTCTTCCTAGATTAATTTGTTCCCCAAAAAATGTCTATGATGCCTTTGAAATCAGGCACTATTGATCTGGAACTACACAGTGTGTTCTGGATTTCAAGTTAACATTTATCCAGTAAGGCCAGATGACTATAATTTTTAAAGTAGCCATTGGAAATATGATAGTTGTTGGTCAAAAAGAATTTAACCAAAACCTGATCCCACTTTTCTCAATAACCCAAATATCTTAAGTGTTGTTCTTTAAAAGTATCATGTTTTATTATACCACATCTGCCTCATAAACATGGACCAAGAGAAATATTCGTTCAAATTAAATATGTAAAATTACTGCTATTACTTACTGTGAATTAAATTTAAAGTTTTGATACATTCAAGTCCCTAAGCCAGAACTAGTTTCTTGGAAATAAAGTCCAAATCTGAATCTGGACATCAGGATAACACCCCAAAGATACTTTGCTTAACTGTCTGGTTTTTGTAACTCCATCTTTCGGTATTACAAATTGCAGTATGAACACTATCAGCTTAGGCTACAGCAAGCCTGGGAATTAGCCCACAGGAATTTCAAATCTCTTTCTTACCGAAAAGGACACTGGAAAATACAGTATGTTTTACTTACTTCCCATAGAACATAAACAAAAAAGACTTGTTCACCATTATCGCAGAGCCATTTGCAATGTCTGTGTCTTAGTCCAAAACACAAACCAAAATTAAAATGTTCTGGTCTTTCCAGTAAAGCACATTCTGCCTTTTCAAAAAGTCTGCTCTTTATCCACCCTGTGTTAGTTAATTATTTTCAGGAGGTAAGAACAATACACACCCAGGTGTTAAATGAGCAACTGCAAAACAAAAACTTCTTTCTAGCTCTGAAACATAATTCTCATCTGGCTAGAAAGATAGATAACCCCATCTATAAAGTCCTCTACCACATTTCCTGACTTGGGTTTATTATATGTAATGCTGTGGCTTCTCTCTTTTCCCATCTCCTGGAAATGCCCTTTCATTCAGGTCTGGGATGTGGATTTTGACTCACAATGAAGTCCATTGGCATTTCCTCCAGACCTGCCAAAAGAAGGATTCTCACTGCTGAGAGGGAACTGCGAGGGGAAAGAAAGGGGAAACTTGAGTGAGGAGTCTCAGCTCATACATTTCTTTCTATTCCTCCCAACCCCCAAAAAAACCTTAAAGCACTGATAAGCAGGAGTTCTGAATCAGTGTATGGAGTTAATTTTTTCCCCCCAGAAAGTCACCCAACTAGTGACCTGGGCGCACACAAAATCCCCAAGCAAGGAAAAGAAAGGGTTTGAAACAGGAAATAAACAAATCAGAATTATATTCTTCCACTTCTCATCCTCCCAACAGGCAATTGCTTTCTCTAAATACCAAACGTGGACGTTTAAGTTCTCTTTCTGTTGCTCTCTGCAGTTCTTATTGAAAGCAAGGATTTGTTTTGGTCCCACATGTTGAAAAATTCACGTCCCTGTAATTAAGAGTTTGCATGCCACGCCTTCCACCACATTTCCCTGTTAAAACTCCCTTCTCTAAAAATCATCCCTGAAAACGCAACTACCAGCCCCTCAAGCAGCCACAGGAAACAGATTTGAAGACTCCCGCAGCCTTCCTAACCTAACCCCTCCAGATCACCAAAGGGATCCTCCTCGGTTAAAATATAACAGTGAATAAGAGCTGGCGTTTTAGAAGTGTGCCCCCAAGAGACCGGTTTTCCCAGAAGCTCATAATTAATACACCCCTATTGAATTTCTCACATCCTGACTGGACTATATAAAAGGATATTTGACGTTGATATGAGACTAACGTTGATATTATTTTACTTAATATATAATAGGCCACAGGGGGGCTTTTAAAATACAGAACTTTTTTTCTTTCAAAGAGCGTAATTTTTGAGTCGATGATTCATAAAATTTTTGTGGCACTTTAAAAGCAGCCTCCCAACACACACACACCCCCCTCTGGCTGAGGTTCTCAAGTATCGTTGGGAGGCTAGGGTGTGGGGGTCTAAGGACACAGACCTTACATGCGCAATAATCCTGGAGGTAGTTTTCACACATAAGCCAGTTTGGAGCCCCAGGCGTTAAGCCCTACCCCTACCTACCCTCCAAAAAAGTGCCCGTTCCCACTGGGAAACGGGAGAGAGTTGGGAAAGGAAACCCACCCGGGGAAGAGGAGGAGCAGCCAACCCCCAGCTGCAGCCACACAACGGTGCCACTACCCTCCCGTCTCCGAGCGGAGCAAACGCCCTTACCTGGGGGTGGAGAGCCACCCGCGCTAGTTCCAAAAGTTCTGGTCCTGCCTCCCCCGGAGTTCAAAGCCCCAGCACTCCGGCCCCGCCGCAGGCTCTCCGCGCTCGGGTCCTCTCCGGTGCCTTCCCCACCCTGCCTGCCCTACACCATGTCAGGAATCCGGGCAGGCACCGCGCTGGGAGCTGACATCACTCCCAGTTCCAGGTACCTCCCCCTCCCACCGTCGCCTTCTCTCCTCCCTCCCTGCAGGAATCAGCCAAAGAGAGTCAGCAAGGGGGCGGGGTCGGCGGCGCCCGTGCGCCCGCGGATTGGGCCCCGCGCAAGTCACTCAGAGGAGTCAACTAATTTTATACATTCCTCGCTGAGCGAGCCTAGGGCTGGAAGTGGGTGTTGATGGAAAAAAATGCTGCCTTTCCTGCTATCTGTAAAGAGAGGCGATAACGCGATGGGAGAGAACCTAGCGGACCGGGTTTTTAAAACTTTTCCTGGTGTATTTACTATATATTCCGGATCAGAAATGAAACTAACTCCCCCGACCCCCCTTTTTAATGAGAAACAATTGCCTCTGTGTCACCGGCGAGTCCGAGCCGGCGGCGCGTGGTGGAGAAAATGGCTAGCTTTAAAGCCATGCAAATAAAGGAAAACGTCAGCTCACCCTTCTGCCCTTTCATCCTGGGACTGCCGGGTGTTCCCTTAGACAGGGAACTGAGAACTTCAAAAGCACTTGGGTAAGATTTGGAAGAGAATCCTAGAAACGGAGACCCAGCTCTGAATTGTTAACTGGTGGCGTTATCAACCATGTGGCTGCTTTTGCTTTTAGCGATGAAAATCACACCACACAAGTTTCCCAGGCAGATAAAATGGAATCTGTGGAGCAAGAAAAATTGCTATTTACCGTTTTAAAGACCTTAAGGCAGCTGTTTTAAGGCAAAACTGAAAGAGCGTGGGGGAGACCTCACAGCTGAGTTCAGCAAACCACATGAGAATAATTACTGTTGAATAGAACCAATTGCAGCGGTTGAGCTATCAATTAAAAATTAACTAACATTTACCCTTGACAGATATTTTGCTGTATAATCCCTTTGGCTGACAGAAGAGAAAGAGCCTCAGAAGACGGTTCAATTTACCTGATATCTAGTCCAAGGCAGAACTGAATGAAAAACAGGTTTATTTATATGAGATATAGGTAGCATATTATCCAGCATCTTCTAGAAATACAATGAATTGATCATTGGCTTTCTGTTGGTTTTTATTGTTTGCTTTTGATTTATGACATGTCATACATTTCACTGTTCTGCCAAAAACTGTAGAGGGATACACAGAGTTCAGCATTGTGTCTCGTTTAATCCTCACAACCATCCTGTAAATTGAGTGTTATTAGCCCGATTTTAACATAAGGAATCAAAGGCTCAAGTAAATTACTCCAGATCACCCCGAACTGGGATTAAAACCAAGGTCTATTTGACTCCAAAGCCATTTTTCTCTTTCTATATCCAAAGTATTGAGTGTCCATGATCTACACTCTTTCGAACACCATAATGCTCCAGAAAACCCACAGGCTCGGGCCACTGCTCTCACAGACCTGCTTTATATTATTACTATCACGGTTACCTGTCACACCTACACTGTTCCAAACTCCTAACTTGTATTTCTGACTCCAGTTTCCGCTCTGTTTCTTTCTCTGCACCACTACCAGATGAGTTTTCTAAAACATTTTGCTTTGTCACCAACATCTTCCCCTCTAAATCAGGTCCCCTTTCCCTGCAATTCTTAGCCAGCTGTTTAAAACTCTTCCTAATCTGGCTATTTACCTTTCCCACCTATCTCTCACTTCACTCCTGGGAACCCCTGTGCTGTAGTCAAACAGGTCTACTGACAGATCTCTTGGCTCTCACCTTTCGGCCCAACTGGAATCCCTACTCTTCTGTGTGTTAAGTCCCACCCTTCTCTCAAAGCCTAATTAAATTTAAGTCCTCGTCCTCTGCCAAGACTTAGCTGTGTGCTACAGCAGACAGAAAAAGGACTTGGGGTTCTTGGCCCAACTCTGGGCAAGTCACTAAAATATCCATCCACATAACCCTAGCTTCCTCCTTCCCTAAAATGAGACCGACAACACCTACGTCAAAGGTTGTTGTAAGGACTATTGAGACTGTACAGATGTGGAAAAATGGGTTATTCGTGTCCAGTTAAATACTTTTCCTGACTTCCCAAACTCTAAAGAGCAAGTTTTATGCTTAATACCTCTTTGTATTTTTCACACCCAACTCAAGGAAAGGGCTCAATAAAAACACAGGGTGCCAGAAAATAGATCATCATGTCACTTCTGTTCCCTTTCCATTCCTTAAATGCACTCAACCCCCAAATAATCTCTCAGCCAAAAATTTCAACTATCTCTTCTTGTTCTTTTTTTCTCTCTCTCTTTTTGTGCTTTGTCCAGAGCCCTTCCCTTCTCCTACCCACCATTCATTCAACTACCTCTACTTCTCTCAGAGAACTTCTGGATCAACAACTCAACACTGTCAGTGTCTGTTGCCTGCCTTGCTCCCACATGCCTTCAAACAGTGGCTGTGTGGCTACCAGCCATTCTTCCGGTCACAGGCGAGCTGCATCCAAGCTCACATTCTTCCAAAAACTACAGCCAGCCACAGGAGATGGGGGAGGGACTGTCCCACCCCCACAGGGATGGCAGGATAGAATAACAGGAAATTGCCTCCCATCCCTCTGCAGCTGGAGTGATAACAGCTGCCACCAGAGTCCAGAAAACAAAAGGCTCAAGAGGAAAACTGAAAACAGGCCGCTGGCCAGATCTGGAGCAGTAGTGTTCGAACCAAGGGTCACACAGAGTGGGTGAGGAAGGAACCAGTGGGTGAGATTTCAGGCTCCTTCACCCCTCCCTTTCACCAGAGTTACAGCTCTTCTCTGTTCTACATTTAGGCTCCACCACAATACTTTATTTTTTAAGGAGAATCAAACGCTTAAATAAACATATTGAAACCACTGGCTTTGGGTATCTTGGGGAAACTCCAAAGGATCAGGATATGGCAGCAGAAGCAAGACAAGATGCCTGAAGAGCAGGTACCCAGAACTTACCCACTATCCTGGATCCAAGCTGGCTTAATGGAAATGCACATTTACGACACCTGTGGTTTCAACACTAATTAGCGCTGTAGGTCTAGATCTCTATTTTCTGCCTAGTTATTCCTACAATCAGCCTTACCTTTGGTACCGATGAGCTTTGCCAGATACTATTACTATTGGAGGATGGGGGGAAGAGACACTCTGAAGTAGGAGAAAACCTGCAGAGAATAACAAAAGTAGAAGTTGAAGTGGACCGTAAAGGTCATCTGATGCAAGCACCTATTTAGGATGCAAGAACATCTACAGCATTCCTGGCAGGTAGCTTCCAGCCCCTGCTTTGTCGTATCTGGCAACAAGGAGCACGCAAGCTAAGAAAGCAGCCCACCACTAAAGATCTCTCTCCTATCAAGCTGGATCTTGCTTTACTGACTTTTTCTCCCGAAGACCACACTGTCTTGGGTCTCATTTTATCCTCACAAACATCCTGTAAGGTGAGTGTTATTAGCACCATTTTAACATAAGGAGCCAAAGGCTCAGCAAGATTGTGTAAGTAAGTTGCTCTAGAACACCCAGAACTGGGGTTGAAACCAAGGTCTATTTGACTGCAAAGCTATTTTTTCTTTCTGTATCTAAAGCATTGATTGTCCATGATTTACACTCTTTCACCTCTGTCCTCTGAAGTAACAGAAAACACGATTTTTGTTACCCCATCCCCAACCCTGTGCAGGCACGAGGACAACATTCCCTCCTTAGTTTTTGTTTAGGTGCAGAAATCCAGGAAAGGCTCACCAGACTCATCAAGCTCATGTCCTTTGCCTGTGTGGTCTCTACAGCACAGCCAACCACTCAAGACTCCTATCAAAACACAAAAATGAGTCCCCTTTTTACCAAGGAACAAAACCCAAACCCTTTTGACTGGCATCCAACTTACCTTATTTTCCACTCTTCTTCATGTGCCCACACTGTGCAAACTGAAACACTTTGCACCTGTCTTCCCTAATAATGTGTCTTTGGTTATTAATGATTTTTCCCATTTCTACTAAAATCCACCTCACAGGTTGTTGCAAGGATTAGATGAGATGTCATATGCAAGATGACAGAACACCTTGCCTGACAGATCATAGGTCATAAGTAAACATATTTCCCTTTTTCTTACGACATAAAACAGTTATTGTACTATTATTTTTATAGATGGCTTATGGTCCTCCCTGGCTATAAGTTCCTCACCGTCCTTGGGAACGGGATGCTAATTTGTTTCATCTTTACATCCTTTATGGAATCTAGAACTATGTTTTGTCCTATAGACATTCATTAAAAATTCACTGAATGAATGAATGAATGAATGAATGAATGAATGCCATCTTTTGCTTTAAACTCTTAACCTGCTATGAGCTAGGTCTTCAGAAGTTCAGGAATAACTTAACCAGAGTGATCACAAAGGATCTGCGTGCCTCCAGTTGTTCTCATCCCAGTCACATTGCCAAACACAGAATGGGTTAAACACATGTTATGAATCATGAACCCAAATCCAAATGAAACAAGCTTAGCTTTAGAATTCCTTCTAAAGGAAATTGCTGCTTATTCTGTCTGATTCTAAGCGTGGCATTGGTGATAATCCAGACACTATTTTAATATCCTTTAGCTGAATACTAAGCCACTACTCAGCTATCACCACTGACATCATTTATGAATCCAACCCCCTCCGCGTTCCCTTCCTGCCCGTAGAGACAGGGTAGAAATAGGCACAATATCTTGCTACAAGTGGAGAGTCTTATTTTAATTACTGTTTCCTTGCAACCCAGTTGTCCTGATTATGCTCCAGTTACCCACCAGATACATCTAAAAACCTGCTTATATTCAACTTACTCATTTTATTAATCTACTTATAAGCTGAAAAAAAATTTTAATTAAAAATAAGAATCGCTTTTTATGGTCTTTGATTAATGTTCAATGAATGGCTAAATTAAACACATTAAATTCCCTTAAACAATTAACCCCATTACAAACTTAGTTAATTGAATTTCCTAAAAAGTACGTCTGGTTCCCATATTCTGAGAGAGGCCACCAAGACGGAAGGCCAGCCCTGTCA